ATCTGAAATTATTTCACTGTTCAATGGACTTTTTAAAATAATATGTACAAAATGTGTACTTACAGAATATCTGTTTCCCATGAAATCTGTAAAACAAAGGATAACAGGGAGGTGAGCAGTGCAAGGACAGCGTGTTAGGCTGCCCCACTCCACATCTCCGGGGCTGAGCCCACAGTGGGAAAGAGGGAGGTGATGCAGGAGGAGACCCCAGGCCCACAAGCTCACTGGGAGTCCAGGTTTACGGCTCCTTTGCCCAGACAGCTCCCTGTGACAAGCATTTAATGTCTCCGGCAGCTCATTTGACATTTTAAACAGTTTTTAAAAATTAGTATCACCTGTTATTTTATGGAAAAAAACCTGAAAAGTACAGAAAAGTAGAAAGTGGCAGATGAAAAGCATCTCTGTTCCATTCTTCAAACTCTGCTGAGACTTCTGTCTTCCCGTCATTTTTTGCTACAAGCAGGCTTTCTCTTGGAGTTATAATTATACAGTATATGCCATTTTACAGCTTATCTTCTATGATTTTATAAACATTTTCTGGTACCTTCTTAAACATCATTGTTAGCAGCTGCATAATAATCACTGAATAAATGTGCAATCGTTTACTTAACCAGTTTCTTGCTTTTAAAAATTGAGGTTCTTTCCAAGTTTTTGCTATTTTAAATAATGCCGCCAGTATCCTCTTTAGGGATAAAGCTATTTCCATACTTCATACTGGTTTGTCCATTCCCGGGAGTGGGATCAGTGGAGCAGAAAGTATAAACACTGCTGACGTGCTTGGCACGAAGGGCGGGGCCACCACGTCCCCTCCCCCTGGGGAACCTCATCTCGACAGTCTGGAGGCCACGCTGCCTTCTTGACGGAGTGCGTGCCAGGCCTGGCTCACTCTGCCAGGTGGCGATGGGGAACGTGGCCCTGGCCACACGTCAGGAAGATGAGCATGAGGGTGAGAAGGGCCAACAAGGACAGGAGGCGTTGTGTTAGGTCCTTGCCTACGTTAGTTAGAGATGCTTTTCATTCACTACAGGAGGCAAGGGAAGGATAAGGTTTGCCCCAATGGACAGGACCAGGCCCCAAATCATAGCAGAGTTTCCGGATGGGCAGTGGTCCACACATTGGAGCTGATTCCTATGGACTATGGCTATAGACACAAAGACAGAGATGCCACAGGGACCTCTTGCCACCTGGGGAAGGCCCCAAGAGAAGATGTGGGTATTGGAGGTGGTTGCCATTCTTGGAGGTGGTGGAGTAATGGCAGGAGAGCCATCAATAAACCCTTCCCCAGTCCCTAGTCTTACTGGACGGAGGCTCTCCAACGCACCCCGGTTTCTGTCCAGCCGCCCAAGCTCAAACCCGGTCCCTTCTGAGCCCTGGGCGGTCTCGGGGCCCATCTGCTACGCTCCTTCTTTCTCTCTCTCTAATTTAAAAATATCCTGTTTCCACGAGTCCACTTCCCCCTCGAACCCTGTCTTATCACCGCTCCATTGTGCGGCCTCTCTAGAGGGAACAGGGCCAGAAGTTCCTAAGGGGCCCCCTTCTGTCCTTGGCTGGGCCAGAGGCAGGCGTCAACAGCCAAATGGATGAATCAGCCCAACCATGAAGTCCGAGCCATTGTGTAAACTTCCACACATTGAGCAGGGCCTGGGCAGCACCCTGCCCCCACACCACATCTGACCTGGGAAGACCTGAAGGACCCCGTGCTTCCTGCTCCCCAAAAGTCCCAACAGCTCTGGGATGAGACACAAGAGAGAAAGAGCCTCAGGCTGTGTTTCCTAAAGCAATCTGAACACAAAATACTAAAATCTGAGTGTGCTGATAACAACTGATGGAACACAAAGCTTATGATCACTTGAAGTTTTCTCTTTGGTAAAGAAACCACCACGAAAATAGAACCTGGAGGGCAGGGTTTGTGGGTTTATTTCCTACAGAGAACTTTTTAACCCTCTCAAATCCAAGACTGGGTAGGTTGCTTTGGGCCTGGCAGGATGGTAGGGACTGGCCCTCCCAGAGGGGACACAGCTCAGAGACACTCTGTCCTTTTTCTCTCGATGACCAGCTACTCTTGGTTTACCAGACTTCTCCCCCTTCAGAAAGACCAGGAAGTCTGAATTCTAGGCAAAGAGAAAGCAGAAGGTGAAGGCCAAGCGAGCAGACACTCAGATGCGAAGGTGGGTCCTGTCTGACCCCAAAGTCACAGGTGAGTGTCTGGAACGGGACTTGGCATCTTTTCTCAGGGCCTCGAACGGTCAGGCGGGACATGCTCAGGACACCTCCCAAAGTGGGCGCAGGGCATCTGAGGAGGAAACCCAGCTCCCCTGCTGGAAGTCTCACAGGAGGTGAAACCCCTAAGGCTGGTTTCTTAACATTGGCACTATCGACATTCTAGTTTGGATAATTCTTTGTTTTGGGAGGGGAGCTGTCCTGTATATTATAAGATGTTTAGCCACATCCCTAGTTATGACAACCAAAACTCTCCCCAGACATTGCCAAATGTCTACTCATTGAGAACCGCTGCTCTAAGCTGCGGAGATCTCATCCAGACCCGAGTTCCTTCACAGGGAAGAACTTGACTGTGCTGCTAATTATAATAAAGCACTTTACCCTTCTGTTTTTAAAGTCCTGTGTAAATATATGTGAACAGGTCTTGTTTTGGATGGCCTGCAAGCCATTTTATCAGGTACTTTCACAATAAGCTGGAACACGATAAAATGTCAAGTGCTGAATCAGACTGAAGATGTCAGCTTTCCTGGCCAGAAAGAGCAGTTCACACGGGGCTCAGCCAGGCTGAGGGAGGTGCTGAGAAAGCCATGGATAGCCATGTGATTACAGAGAGGCTTCCCAGCCAGCCATCATTTTTCTTTTGGTTCTTGTCACTAAGATAGCACTCAGAGAACAAGGGGGAGGAAAAGAAAGTGAAATCGCTCCTTGGATCAGCTGGCACCAGTCAGAGAAGGAAGCAGTTGATGACAGAGAGAAGAGAGGAATACGTGGGGGTGGGGGAAGGGCAGGTGACTCCAGGTCACCCTGCAACCCATAGCACCAAAGGTATGAACTAGGCCTGGGAGGACACCATTGAAATCAGGAGAACTCAGATGAGTAACAGATCATCCTGCATAAAGTCCAAGGCTACAGGGGATGGGAGTAAATTGGATCTAGTTATGTGTTAAGAGAGAAAAATACCACAAAAGCCAAGATATGGAAGCAACCTAAGTGCCTATCAATAGATGACTGGATAAAGAAGTAGTGGTACATATATACAATGGAATATTACTCAGCCTTAAAAAATGAAAACTTATCATTCGTAATGACATGAATGGACCTAGAGGGTATTCTACAAAGTGAAATAAGTCAGACAGAGAAACACAAATACCATACAATTTCACTTATATGTAGAAGCTAAAGAACAAAATAAACAAACAAACAAAACGAAAACAGACTCGTAGATACAGAGGACAAACTGATGGTTGCCAGATGGGAGGGGGGTTGAGGATCTAGGTGAAAAAGGTGAAGGGATTAAGAAGTACAGACTGGCAGTTACAAATAGTCATGGGGATGTAAAGTACAGTGGAGGGAATACAGTCAATAATATTGTAATAACCATGTATAGTGCCAGGTGAATACTAGAGTCATGCAGGGAACATTGAGTAAATTACCAAAAAAAAAAAAATCTGACCAGTATGCAGTATACTTGAAACTAATCTAAAATAATACCGAATGTCAACTCTTATTGAAAAATAAAAATTAAAAAGAAAAGAGAGCAAGAAAGGTACCAAACTACAACCTGGACTATTTTTTTTAAACACTCACCTCTCAGGACCACCTACGTTATTGCTTAATAAGGGATGTTTAGCCACATCCCTGGCCTCCGCCCATGTGTCTGTATAGACTAATTTTCCCATTTCCGGTAAGCCAAATCATAAGCCATAACTAGAGCTGCTATTGCTGACTGGAACTTGCAAATAATTGAAAAGAGAACAAGAACTTTAGAAAACCTTAACTTGCAGATCTAAATTATGAGGAAATTATTAGCATTTTCTCTGTTTCCTGAAGAAAGCTGAAGGTTGCAGAGATGCAGAACTCTCCATTTGGATTCTTTCTGACGTAAGTTTTCTAGTTCTGAAAACCCCTCTCCGTCCTTCTCCAACGCGTAGCAAGAATCATCTAATAGTTGGAAAGGGAAAAGCTCAAAGAACAAGAGGTTTCCTTGCCTTAGACTAAGAGTTCATTGCTGGGACAAGAGGCCGTTAGCTTAGCTACATGTCGACACAGCAGTAGGCTGCGAGTGGAACAGCAGACTTGCGTGACTGTGGCCAGGACCCAGCAGGAGTTACCCAGCAGGAAGAGATGTCCCTCTCCACCTCATTTTAAGGAACCCACCTGCCCTTATCCACCCAAGGGACACACACCCTCCCGAGGAACACTGAGGTGTTCACTCTGCAGCAATTCCACATAGGTCAGGGCATTTTGTTGAAAATTCGTGAGAAAACTAATGACCGAGGGAGAAGTAAAGGGTGGGGGCCAAGTCACATAACCTGATAAGGGCCGAGCTGAGACCAAAGCCCAGGTCTCCATCTCCCACTTAGGATGTTTGCCATCGCAGTACACAGACCCATCCAGGCTGGATTCCCGCCCAGATGAAGGCAGCAGAAACAGTTAGTTGGCTCCCGAAAACCACAACTTAATTTAGATTCGAAGGGAAAACTCAGGCTTAGAAGCAAATACCTAAGGGGGCTTGGAGTCAAGGGTGGGTAAAGGATAAGGATTGGCTCCAAGGGACCCAGGGAACAACTTGTGGAAGTGACTGACTCTCCTCTCCTCACTAACATGTTCAAGACATAAACAAATGGCGGTCACTTCCAAATGCCAGGACACTGAGATTCTCTGAATGTTAATATTGGAAGGCAACTTAAGATCATTCTTTAAACCACCTCTTTGACAGATAAAAAAAAAGCCGAGCTTAGTCAAATTCACAGAGACACAGAGTAGCATGATTGTTGCCAGGGGCTGGGGCAAATGAGAAGTTACTGTTTAATGGGTACACCGTTTCAGTTTGGGAAGATGGAAGACGAGATGGATGGTGGTGATG